TTGTATTCTTAGGAAATCAGTAAATCATGTAACAACTGGCTTAGAGGATGGGACGCTTAGGCGTCGAAACAAATCTTTTGACAACATATTGTAATTGATATTTTGAAACATGTAATACGTACAAATGATGTAACTTTTTCAATTATATATATGTTGGTTATGTTTGCTTTGAACATTTATATTCAACTGTTATGATACACTACATGATAGTCACCTGCCCCTGGACGTTTCCGCCATCCTGGTTTGGGGGTATGACACATTGCTTTGCAAGCCTCTATCTTGTATTCAATCTGTAATGTTCATATGCAAGTTTCTTATTTATGTTTATTGATAGTGTTTCAATTTGATTTCTATAATATATATTCATATTTATACTGTTGGTTTACACAAGTTCTAACACGGATTTAGTGATGGAGAAGTGCCTGTATATAATGTTGCATCTCTTGCCCGCCAAGTGTTTGCTAAAAGGCCGGAATGAAATATGAAATATATACGGTGGGTAGTAGTCCTTTTTGTTATTCTTTATGTCGCCCTGCAATAATTTCAAACCGTAATTTTCACTCCTGATTCCGATTTGAAGGTAAACAACTATTGTATCATTCTTTTGTACCTTTTTAAGAGTTTGTTGGTGATCATTTTAACAGGAATTGAGTTTTGTTTTTCTCTGAAATGTGCAGCGATTTTACAACATGCCAAGATTTGAAAACCTTATAATCACTCTCGATCCTGATTCCAAGGTAGGAAAAAGATTCCTTGACTACTTTTCTTTTATGTTGCCAATATGTAATTTAAGAGCATCTGTTCATATTGATCTAAAAAAATAGACAAAATATGTTTAGCTTTACCTAAATGATTTGGGAAAATTATATGCAAAGATGACATATTTTGCTCTCATTAGAAGTGTGTCATAGAATCGATCTTTTTCGATGCTAATTAATCAAATGATTCCTAATTTGACAAGCACCTCTGCTGCATATGTAGATATATACAAACCTTCACTTACCAGATGTGGATTTTTATTAATTACTACCCATGTTGTGTGTATTAGTAATCATGATGTCCGAAGAAAGTTATGAACTTTATTAATTTTGTAAAAATGTTGATTTTTATAAGTATTTGCATCACGAAAACTTTGATTATTTTTCTCTTTTGTACAATTTAGTAATGATATATATTGTCTTATGAAAAAAAATGCCATAATTTGATTATTTGTATGGTTTTGAATGTGTAGAAAATTATTTGACGTTCTTGTGCTTTCCGAGGCTTTATCAGAACTTACGTGGCCATCCATTCTCAACAAGAGACACATTTTTTAGGTACTGTAATATCTTTAACACACACACACAGATATATATATATATATATATATATATATATATATATATATATATATATATATATATATATATTAGTTCCTCGAATTTTTGTGCATGATGTTGATCTTTACGATCATATCCCATTTGCATATTAAAGTTATGGTTATTCTTTTTTCTATCTTTACTTTAAGAGTCCTCAAATGGACAACAATATCTTTAAAGAAAAAAAATAATGAAATTAAATTCCTTTTGTCAATCCCAATGAATGGTGGAATCCATTAAATATGGAATTTGAAGGAATCTGATGCGATTGAATTCTTTCCATTTCGTATCCAAACATGTCATGGAATGGAATCTTGAGTTCCGGTTCCATCGGATTGGAATCCAAAACTAACATGCCTCATTATTACCTTGCCTTTATTGTAGGTCTATTTTGTTTATCTTCCGTTTAATGACATTCAAAAAACCATTTCATTTTTGCACCTGCAGTTGAAGAACAACTGCTATTCACATCATTTTTTCCTTTTGTTTGCTATTGTTTTTGATTTTCTAGTTTAACAGGTTTGAGTTTTTAAAATTTGATTTCCCATCTACAAACGCTTCTTGGTTACTCATCATCAAAGATAAATCAAGTAAAACCTTCTTTCATCACATGAGTTCCTTTACCTAAATTTTAAATAATAAACTTTTAAGTATTTGTATATATCTTGTTTATGAAACAAACACACACACACACATAAAATCTCTTAATCCCAAAACATGTATGGACTCTTGATCCCCTAAACCCTTACTTTTTACTTTAAAGGTCAAATGGGTTGCTTTTTGATGGATTATAAACATCGCCAACCAGAACCCAACCAATGAAATAACTATTAGTGTTAAATCTTTGCAGCATATAGTTTCAAATGCCTATAATTTTGCAACTTCTTTCTCCAAGATTCGACTAATTTTACATTTATTTTAAGTTTGATGTTTACAAAATGTGAATTTTTCATTGTGATTGATTTCAGATGAACAAATTTGACAACCCAGTTTACGTGGGTTAGTTTTGGTTGCATCGTAAAAAATATTTACTAATTGTTTCTTTAGTTTAGCTTTTTTTGAGCAAAATGCATTAGATTACAATAATATAATACAATGTTCCTAATTTGAAATTCCTGTAGTTGATAATGAAATTTCTATTCGCTTGCTTTTGTTAAAACTTCAGGAAGCAATCAAATGCATGTATCATTCAAGCATAACCATATTGACCACAGATGTCAGCATGAGAAATATTGAGGTAGTTCTTGTTTATAAAAAATCAACTTTCTCCTTTTAGATTACACTAAGGGGTGTTCGGTATAGGGAAATAAAAGCTGGGAAAAAGAATTGATTCCTTTTTTCTTGTCTGGTTAATACAAAAATTAAGGAATTGGGAAATAATTCAATTCCTTTTCCATTAAATTCATTCTCTATTTTGTTTGGGCCAAACGTTTAGATCCATAATAGAAATCCAGTCCAGCTATGTAGAATTAAGGGAAGCGCCGACAAAAAGGATGAAAACTTGAAAAGTGAAGGCGGCAATTGAAGACGAAAAGATGGGCAGAAGTCGAGGAGACGTGGAGACAAGGTATAACATCTAGTCGCATAGGAAGTGCTACTAAAAATGCACACTTTATTCTTTTATACTCGATCTTTCTCTACTTCGTTTTTTTTTTTTTTTCGTTCGGCACCCTTCATCGGAACAATTTAGAGTCAAAGACTCGAAGTCGACTTTTCAATCTTCAACCTCTTATTCTCTATCTATAAGGATTGAAGGAAAGACATCACCAATTTTGGACGATTTATTTCTTTTGTTCGGATCAATGTCGATTTCAACTTGATTTCTTTTATTGAACTCGATTTCTCTTCTGCAATCGAATTTATGTTGATAATAACCGCCTGGATGTATTTCTTTTGTCCGGATTAATGTCGATTTCTCTTGATTCCTTTATTTCTCCACTCATGTATGTATGTGAAGTCTAGAATTGGCATATCATAATAATGAAAGAATTTGTGTATATGAAGTCTAGAAACTAGTAAAAGTTGTGTTAATGTTCAGTTTGTACTTGAAACATGAAAAAAGATTTAATCAACCTTCCCCAAGTTATGGCAAGTGTTGATTATTGATTTTCTTTTTCAAGTTCAGTAATTTGATGTATACAGCCATTAAGATATACTTGTCTCTTTTGTTTGGGCTTCCATTTTAGAAACTTGATTGTTGTTTTTACGGCTTATTAGTAGCATAAGACAAAATTGTCGATTGTTGAACATTTAGGAGAATTTCTTTTTGATACAAATAACTGAAATACATAGTTATTATTTTTATTTAAGTTTCTTAAATAAATGAGATTGTTGTGATTGAAGATCCATAGTCATATGGACATCTAGGAAAGTATTGAGGAATGGTTCTAGGCTTAGAACCATTATACTAAATTATACTAAATGTTCTGTCCAGTAATCATATTTGTGGACTATAGTTTATGACTTCAAATTAACTTCTTAAAATTTGTTTTTTATAAACTTAAAATTATGTAGGATTGGTACAAATAAATAGGCATAATTAAACATCTCCGCCCAGGGCATGAAAAACCAATTGACCGGCCGTGTTTGTAGCTCCTTCTTAGTCGATTTTGGAACCGTCATCTTCAAATTTAAGCTAATCTTCCTATCTGTTTTTAAAATTTGTTAACATCTTGCTACGAATTGATTCTTTATACAAGTTTGTATAAGGTTTTTGATGTTAAAGTTGATTCTCGCTATGTTACAAGCAATTGTGTGTCACTGGATAATTGTTGCTGCCAAAAAGAAAGCAACGAATCCTTTCATTGATTGCAATTTGTTAACAGATTATGTATGTACAATGGAAAGTTGTTTTACTGATGCAGTTTTTTTTGGGAATTTTTACCCTATTTTGAATAACAATAAAATCTCCATACTAGCTTGGAATGAGCAGATTTTTTTCCCAGATTGTAGTCCTCTATATTGGCTACAATGTAGGCTCAAAAAACAGCTTAATTGGTTAAGATATGACTGAGTTACACTACCTTAAATACGGGCTGTTAGGACTGTTGTACATTGTTACAACATTTTTTATAATTTTTGTCAAACTTTAAACCATCATAAAAGTCTCATACGAGCTCGAAATTAGGCGATTTTTTTTTCCAAATTGTAGTCTTCTATGTTGTCTACGCTTTAGGATAATAAAACAACTTAATTGGTTAAGATATGGATGAGTTATACAGCCTTAAACAAGGGCTGTTACAATTGTTGTATATTATTACAACATTTTTTATAATTTTTGTCAAACTTTGAACCATCATAAAAGTCTCATACGAGCTCGGAATTAGGCGATTTATTTTTCCAATTTGTAGTCCTCTGTGTTGTCTACACTTTAGGATAATAAAACTACTTAATTGGTTAAGATATGGCTGAGTTATACAGCCTTAAACAGGGGTTGTTACGATTGTTTTATATTACTACAATACTTTTAAAATTTGTCAAACTTTGAACCATCATAAAACTTTATACAAGCTCGAAATTAGGCGATATTTTTTCATAAATGTAGTCCTCTGTCCTATCTACGTTTTAGAATTAAAAAAATAGCTTATTTGGTTAAATCGAGGATTAAGACATGGAAAAACCATTATCAACATCGTGCACGACATGGTATACGGAACAAACACGAGTGGATTCGGCTGGGATACGGATAAATGTTGTGTTACCGTTGATGTTGAAGTTTGGGATGAGTACATAAAGGTACTATAATGATTATTTTTGTAGTATTTTTTGCATCATTAAAACATATTTTAAATGAATAGTAACCAATTAATTTTGTGCCATTCTTGTAGAGTCATAAAGGTGCTGCATGTTTTCGTGATAAACCATTTCCACAATTCGATAACCTATGTAGAATCTTCGGTAAAGATAGAGCTACTGGTCATGGAGCTACTGATCTTGGAGAAGATGTGACTGAAGAGACACAAAGAAACTCACATGTTGGTGTGGAGGGGTTGGAAGATATTGTGGAAGAGACGCAACAAATTGCTCGTGGCAATCGTAAACGCAAAAGGCCTCCAACAGATGATATTGAAAGCTCTTATAAGGAAGTTGCGAAAGAAATGAAAGAGACTTTCAAGGAGGTTGGTGAAAAACTTAATGAAACAATATACAATATAGGAAGGCAAGAAAATAAGGAAGCACGTGATATGATAGATAAAGTTATCGAAGATATACAACACATGCCAAATATCAATGTGAAGCAGCGAATTAAGGCGATTGACATGTTTTGCAAAGATCAATTTCGTGCCCGGACGTTTTTTTAAGATGACAGAAGAAGAAAAGATTTGTTATATGGAAATGATAGGGGATGGACCAATATCATGATTAGGTTATTTTAAGTTATGTTTTTTTTTAGTTTTTATGAATATTGAAGTTGACTCTTTGCACATTCTATATTTGACATAGTTATGTTTTTTTAGTTGTTAAAAATATTGAATTATACTTTTTGCATATCCTTCATTGGACATAGTTTTTGAATAGTATGATTTTCATGTTTCTTTAAAATCTATTTGTAAGTTATTCCTTTATATTAAAAATATGTTTTCCAAAACAATATGTATAAAAAAATAATATTAATTGATTAGAAAATAAATTATTTAGTAACAATTACTATAAAATAAAAAATAATAAAAAAAACATAAAAGATGCATATTTTGACTAATTAAGATGTACATCGTAATGCATTTTTATAAAAAAAAATGGTATTTGAAAATGAATAAACAAGGTAAAAACACTCATTTCCATTTCATTGATTAATACAACCAAACAAGAGAAATGATTATCAAAAATATTTCTCTAGTGGATTCTCAGTTCCACCAAACAGGAGAGTGAATTCTCTTTCTCCAGCTTTATTCTCTTTCTCTGCATTTCCATTCTCTGTAGCAATTCCATTTTTCTGTACCAAACGCACCCTAATATAATACAATGTTCCTAATTTGACCTATTATTATTGTCAGTTTAGCCAATATATGGATTCACATCTGGAGATCCTTTGTGCCATGTCCTCATATTTCAAAGCATCAGGTTACCCATTTCTCTAACGGGTTTATTTTTATAATCTAAAATGCCCTCTAATAATGAATAATGCTAAAATTCATTTTGTTTTTTTTTCTACAATTATACTTCAAGGAAGCCCTAATTAGTTTAGCCAGAGACTCTGGACTCCATCCTTTAGTTCTTTACTTCACTTGCTTTATAAAAGACGATGTAAATAAATTTCTTTATAAATTTACCCTCTTATAAAGTTCACATTAATTACTAATTTAATAAAATTTTCAGTTTCAAGTGCAATTATGATATGAAATTTAATTAATTTCGTGTAATATGATTATTTATGATTTTAAATATTTTTGTAAGATATTTTACAGTTTATTTTTATTTTATTTGGATACCATACTATAAGTAAGAACTTTTTTAATTATGGAAACGATATTAAAATAAATGTTGTATGATACTATAATTAATTAGTTTTATACCTCCCTAAAAATGTCTTTGTTTTATTTTTAGTATGAATTAATAAAATGGATAATGTTTTAGTGATACTATCATTTTTGGTTTGCTTCCACCTATTTTTATTCTGTTATTTTACGGTATGTGTGTGTGTGCGTATATATATATATATATATATATATATATATATATATATATATATCGGCTTAGGTTATTTAGTGTATACTAACTATTGTGTGTCAGAATGCATACATCTGAACCAACAGATGGAATTAATTAATGGACATGATTTGAGAATGTATGATATTACAATGAGATAACATGTACCATATAATCACACAAAGTTTTAGCAAAAGGGTATGTTGGACAATTAACTATATTTATAAAAGGAAATTTTCGGATTTTTAAGGATAATTAATTCTCCTAATTTTAAAATTCTTAATTTTTTTAATTAATTCAGTTTTAATTCTAACTTAATTTGTTAACATAACCGATTTTATTCTATCAGAATATTTTTTTGCTAGAATGATGTTCTTTCAGAATTTTATTCTATCAAAATATTATTGAAGAACAACGAAATTCTTGAATCCGAGGTTGAAAAATAACAACATTCTAACATATTCTTATACAGCTGAACTTAAATACAAATTCATACATATTCTTAAAGACTAAAAGCCTTATACATTTTAATATAATTATACATATTCTAAAAGAATATAAAAAAAATGAATAAAATCCTTAAAAAATAACAACATTCTTAAATTTTGAGTATGATCAAACTTTATTCATTCTTCAAGTTATTCCTATTAGGTCTTCAACGCATTCTTCCGGCCATTCCTATCACAAATACAACATAAACTAATAATGGTTAAAAACATGTTACTTGCAATTAACTATCAGTTTATATATTCTGGTAGAATACATAGAATATGACAAAATACATAAAATACATTCTGACAGAATACATAGATTTTATTCTGGCAGAATACATTCTGACAAAATACATGGAATACATTCAAAAGTATTGTATTTACTGCTAATATAATTTTAGATTCCAAATATACAATAACCAGGGACAATAGAAATTGGAATTCAAAATCAGAAATTGAACCAAAATAATAAACAGATAAATTAATTACATTTTTAAACAATTTCATAAAACATGTGTTGCTAGTAATTCTGACAAAATGCATACCACTAGGTTAAATTCTTTAGATTCTCTTTCAGGCATTTCAACAAACACTTATTAGGCATTATCATCAAACAAGACAAAATCCTGTGAAGGGCTTAGTGTGATCGGAAGCAAAATCAAAAAAACATAAATTCTTTAGAGAACATCAAAGTTTAAGTTTTTCAATACCAAATAAAAACAAAGAAGACGAACCTGAAGAATCGTAAATCAACAGGAACTGAAGGTACTGAATTCGTCATAAATACAAACCTTGTATTGTGCATCGACGATATCACATGCAAAAACCTTAACCCTTTCCATCTTACCTGATGTGGATGAGTGCAACATTAATGCTATATATATTCATTTAGTTGTAACGAAAGAATCTATCTTAATGCTATAACATATGTGGTTTAGGATCTGTGATAAAGAAAAAATGGACGAAAATCAAATTGTTCATCAGTCTTTTTAACCATCCTCAAAAGAAATTTGATTATAAAATCAGAAATTAGGTTTAAAAATTAGAAATTGAGTTCAAGAACATACCAGGGTTAGGATGTTGGTGTACAACGGCAACTATAGACCGATTTCGGTGATGAAATACGAAGCCGACGAAGGAGAGCGAGGAAGAAGAAGATACGACAGTGGCAAGATGAGAGATACAGAGGTATGTCGATGGTTATAAAGAAGAGATATTAGGTCAACATATATTTATTTTGTTTCCTTAATTGCAAGTGTAAAACACCAGAAATACCCTTCTTGATTTAATTAATTATTTAATTATTTGCTAATTTGTGATTGAAGCATTTAGGAAAACAATATTTGCTAGAAACATTTGAACCTAGCTCTCTCTCTCTCTATATATATATATCTATATATATATATACACACACACACACACTAGGCGAATGCCCGCACGTTGCGCAGAAACAACTATATAGCTTAAGTCTTTACAAATATATGTTTTTTTTTAATATAGCAATAACGTTGTTGTTAAATTTGATATAATAATTCATATACTAAATTGATATAATGTATTGATTATTTTGAATTATATGATAATATATACATCTATTATAACTACATAATCTCAATCGTTTGAATGACTTCTACCAGCGAGTTACACATGAATAAAATTAAATATAATATATGGTTTAATGTTATTTATAGTTGTTGTTATTTTTAATTCATTTTTTAAAATTTATTTGCTTAATGTTTTCATTTTTATCATTATAATTATTTAAAACATCAAACATTGTTTTTTGATTTTAAAGGTAACAATATAATCATTTATATAGAGTTATTTTAACTATTGTTATTGTAAGTTATTTTAATCTACTTATTTGAAAACTTTTAACGATAATAAAAATATCTTTAGGAAATATTATAGTTAAATTGAGATTACAAGTTAGTTTTTGCATTTATCACTACAATTTATCATTTTTAACTATTTACAAAATATTCTTTGGTTTTTTAAGTAGAACTGAAATTTATATTTAAGTTGACATTGTAATGTTATATTTAAAATAACAATTTAAGTATTTTGTCCAAACTGTTCAAAAGTTGTAGCTTTAAACTGATAATGGTTTACGTACAATAACATATTAAATCTAATAAATTAAATATAATATGTTAAAATTTAAAGACATAACTTTATAAGTAAAAGTAAAAGATATTATTTTAAAATTGAAATTTAGTATATTTATGATTACACTTTAGGTTTGATATTTATTTAACCTTATTAACCAACTTATAATCATTCTTAGAAAAACGCTACAATTAATCACTTTTAACTATTTATAAAATATTCTTTGGGTTGTTTAAGTTAAACTAAATTTTATATTTAAGTTGACCCTATAATGTTATATTCAAATTAATAATTTAAGTATTTTATACAAATTGTTCCAAAATTGTATCTTTAAAATGATAATGCTTTACATCCAACAATATATTAAAACTAATAAATTAAGTATAATATGTTAAAAGTTAAAAAAACATCACTTAATAAGTAGAAGTAAATATATTATTTTAATATTGAAATTTAGTTTATATATGATTACACTTTAGGTTTGATATTTATTTGACCTTATTAACCAACTTATAATTATTATTACAAAGAAATTGGAAAGCCATTGGAGTTTCAAATGAATGTGGTGAAATTAAAAAATGCTTCCTTTATAATATAGTATGATGATATGATATGTATATATATATATATATATATATTATATATATATATATATATATATATATATATATATATATATGGGAACGATAAATTGAGAACACCTAAAAGGTCGAGAACGTGAGAACAGTTCTCGACCAATAAATATATAAGGGCATATTAGTAATTGTATACTTTAACTAAATTGAAATAAAATAAAATTCAATCCAATTCCCTTAAATTTAGGATTAGTTACCAAAAACAAGAAATATTCGATTATTTATTTTTCTTATTAATGGAATATAAAAAACATTTTTACCAAATTTATTTTAAAACTGAAAAAAATTTAATTTTTTTTCTTAAAAAAATCAACTTTTTTCTCCTATTTCACCTTTTTTTTCAAAATAATCAATATAAATCCAATCCCAAATCAATACACTTGTATTCACAAGTGGAATTTTTCTTCAAAAACCTAGTAC